CTGTGGCATAGGTACATCGCCGCGGGCGGGAGGGGGGAGAGGGAGGGCAGGACGAGGGGAGAATAGGGACGAGAGGGGAGGGGGGAAGGACGCGGATGAGGGAGAGAGGAGGGAAAGGAAGAGCGAGGTAGAGGGGGTTGTGTGCTCCGCCTGTGGACGCCGAACGTGCCAGCTGCAGGTGGTGCACGAAGCACTGCGCTCACTCGCGAAAATAAAGAAACCTCTCTCCAGAGCAGCCTCCTCGCGTCCCGTGCCCCGGTGGAGGCCACGCAGGAAACGGCTCCGCCATGCCTGGCCCATCACTCCCAAAACAAAGCCTGGGCGCTGGGATGGGCACGTGTGTACCAACCTCCGCGGCTGCAGTTGAGCGTTTGGCGGCGAGCGGGGGGGGGGGAAAGTGAAAGGAGCGGGCCTTCTCAAAAGGCTCGGAGTCCCCTGGCCCTCTGAGAATGTTCCTAAGCCTCCCCCGAAGACAGAGAAAATCTCTCAAAGGCGCGAGGGCTTCTGAGAAGCCCCGCCGCCTTCTGAGAATGCCTTCTCCTTCTCAGTTCCCCCCCTCGCTCGCCGCCGAGCAGTGGGGAGGAAGTGAGGGAGGGAGGCAGGCAAGCAGGTGAACAGAGAGACGCAAGCTGGTTGTCAGGCAGGTGGGCGCCTCTGAAGCCTGGCCACTGGCAACCCGTCTGGCAACGAGTTGGACGCCCGAACTGGGTACGGAAAAAGTTGGTACAATGCCCAACAAAAGATGTTGTCCAAAACCGACAGCGTCCGCCGTTGGGCAGGCGCCTTTCTGTTTTCAAAGAACAACGGCCGCGGCGGCAAGGACAGCGAGTCCTGTGCGAAATGGACAGGACTGCTGTCGGGCACTCCTTCCGTACCCAGCACGATCGTCCCGAAACGAGGCTGAGCGCCTGCGGTATAGACGCACATCACCAGGTTCGCTCGCGCCCCCATCGGCCCTCCGCTCCCCGGGGGGCCGGGGCGGCGCCAAGAGCCGTCGCTGTAGTTGCAGGTCTGTAGGCCCTCGCACGCCTTCCGGAACTTGGTCCGGTTGTTCTTGGTGCCGTCCGGCACGTACTGGGCGACAGCACGGGAGGGGCCCTCCGCCCGCTCCTCCCTCCTCCTCGAAAGGCAGAGGGTGGGGGCGACGGAGGGAGGAGGGGAGTGGGGGGTCCTCGACCTCCCTCCCTCCCTCCGCCTCCTCCTTCTCGCTCCTCCTCGCTCCTTTCCTCCTCGCTCCCCCAGCTCCCCTGCTTCCACCCAGATCCTCAATCATCCCCTCTTCCTCGTCCTCCTCAAACCTCCCTCCTCCCTCCTCCTCCTCCCCTTCATCCGCCGCCCTCATACTGCTTCCCCGCCTCCCACTCCCTTATCCCACCACATGCGGCGGTGCATCGGCGATACGGTACGACCTGACGGCCAAGGCTCCAGCCTGGTATACTAGCTGCCTGGGGGTCATGCAAGCTGACTCATGTACTTGAGCGCGACTCCCCAGCGGCTCTGACCCCCGACACACTGACTGTTCAGCGCGTGGGGCTCAAGAGCTCTCGCCAGATTGAACCCCAAACAGTGAATTATGGCACTGCATCTGGAAGCTTTCTGGTGCAAGCTATGTCATGCAAGCTGCGCAGTGCAGTCTGTGTGGTGCAAGCAATGTGGCTCACCCCACGTGGTGCATGCTGCGCAGTGCAAGCTATGTGATGCAAGCTGTGGTGCAGTGCACACGGCGCCCACGAGGCGCGAACGGGCGATGGCAAGAGCGAAAACGTGGAACTCCCAGCCGGCGCACCGGGCGCCCACGAGACACCCGCGGGCAGGAACGTGGCTCCTCCTCCTCCCCCTCCTCCTCCCCCTCCTCCTCCTCCTCCGCTCCCCCCCTCCTCCTCCTCCACCTCCTCCTCCTCCTCCTCCTCCTCCTCCTCTCCTCCTCCTCCTCCCCTCCTCCTCCTGGCTCCTCCTCTCACTCCTCCTCCTCCTCCTCCTCCCTCCTCCTCTCCTCCTCCTCCTCCTCCTCCTCCTCCTCCTCCTCCTCCTCCTCCTCCTCCTCCTCCGCCTCCTCCTCCTCCTCCTCCTCCTCCTCCTCCGCCTCCTCCTCCACCCCTCCCCCTCCTCCTCCTCCTCCTCCTCCTCCTCTCCTCCTCCTCCTCCTCCTCCTCCTCCTCCTCCCCCTCCTCCTCCTCCTCCTCCTCCTCCTCCTCCACCTCCTCCTACCTCCTCCTCCTCCTCCTCCTCCTCCTCCTCCTCCCTCCTCCCTCCTCCCTCCTCCCTCCTCCCTCCTCCTCCTCCTCCTCCTCCTCCTCCTCCTCCTCCTCCTCCTCCTCCTCCTCCTCCTCCTCCTCAAGCCACTTGGGCTCGAGCACCAAGTCCCACGCCCCCGAGCGTGGGCACGTGCTTGCAGCCTTCCCTGTACTTCCACGCAGTGCTTGATGGATTTTGCAGCAGGTGCGCCCAACACCTGGTTGCATTAACGAAAGCAGGGGGAACTAAGCAATGTCGGCGGCACACCGCCCTTGGAGCAAGTGTCAGTTTTGCCACACGTGCGAATATAATGACAAGTTGCTTCTCGTTGAGTGCAGATGTAGCAATTGTACCAAACAGGTGCGTCTGTTCAAGCCCAAGCCACGCGCACGATCCCAGTCTGCTGACCGCAAGAGTGTGCAGTTCGATGATCAAGCGGCATCAGGTGCGTCCACTCCTCGTGGCGGGGGCAAGAAGGGTGGCCTCAAGAAGAACCAGGACGTCTCGACGCTGCTCGAGCAGGCACTGAAGGCCACCCAGGACGCCGAGTTGCAGCAGGTGCTGCAGCAGCAGGCCAAGAGGCTGGCGAGCCAGAACACCAGCGCGAAGAACGGCGACACTGTGGAGGCTGTCAAACGTGCTGACGGAGCTTGGAGGGCCGCCAGCAACCGCCACCAGCAGCTGGTGGACCAGGTCATTCGTCTCCGTGGACAGCTAGCCACCGCAGAAGGCAAAGAACGAGAAGCCGCTCTCGACCTTGCACGTGCTGCGGCGGCCAAGACAGCAGCCACGAAGGCCTTGGTGCAGGCCGAGGGGGTGGGCACGACCGCCGACAACGGCGAGGCCGAGGCCCAGCCCATGTTCGGCATTTCCATGAACATGGAGGTCTTCAGCTCCTTCGAGTCCTGGGATTGTGAGGAGACCGACAAGCAGAAGTTTCGGGCCTTGAAGGCCGAGCTCGAGCAGTACCAGGCCGCCATGGCCGACAAGAGCGCGACATGGCAGGCCTTCGTCGATAAGGTGAAGTTGGCGCAGCAGGAGATCACCGAGAGGATGGCCAAGAAGCGCAAGGGGAACGACGGCAGCACCCAGGACCAGGACAACCAGGCCCAGGGGGCTACGGGGGCGGCAGCGCCTGCGGCGCCCACGGGAGCGGCCGCGGGCGAGGCCACTGCGCCTGGCGCCACCCCCACCGTCGACCCTGCGCAGGAGGAGGTCATCCAGCAAGAGGCCGCGAAGATCTCCAAGGCGAGGTTCAACGCGGCAGCCGCTGTCGACAAGGGCAAGGGCCAGGCTAGCGGCAAAGGCGTGGGTACGCCACAGGCCGCGCAGCCTAGCCATTGACTAGGGACCTCGATCACTACGACGCAGCCTTCCTCATGTGCTGCGACTTCAAGGGCCAGTGCGTCTACTGGCACTAGTACGAGCAGCTCGTGTGTTGTCACGTCTTCGACGACTTCACTTGCTGCACCTTCCTCTTCATCTTCTGTGGGATCTGCTGTGCCGAGTTGTTCTACAACTCCCACCAGCAGTGAAGAGCCTGTTTCATCACTTTTTTTCTCCAACGTCACGTGCATGGGGGACAAAGCTTGGGGGCATGTCAGAGCGCTCGTGAAGATGGGGTAGTATTTCATTAGTCTGTGCGAGACGCACATCAGTCAACAGTCGATCGGCAAGTGGCGGCGCAAAGCTAGAGATGATTGCCTCAAGCTGTACGCCAATGCTGCTAGGCCGAAGAGCAAGTGGACCACGGTTTCACACAGTGAATACGCAAATGAAGGTGGCGAGTTTTTCTTGGTTGCACGGCACAGGGCAGCGTGCATCTTGGACGAGGCGAGGGCTGCACCTAGTCTTCGGTCCGAGAGAGGTAGTTCGTTTGATGGTTTCGTCCCCGCGCTGCTTGAGCAAAAAGGATATTCAATCGTGGTTGTCACTTTTTACGGTCACTCTGCCATAGGTATGAGAGATCAGAATGTGCCAAGATTTCGGAAGCCAGCCTCGCTCCTTGCAGCCCTTCAGCTTCCCTGGACTGTTGTTGCGGATTGGAATTTCACTCCAGCCTCCCTCAGTAGGACGGGCTTCCTCGAAAAGACAGGGGGGCACATTTTGTGTAGCGAGGCTGAGTTCACTTGCGCTCCTGGGGGAGATCTGAAACCCTCGCACTTAGATTATTTAGTCTGCAGTGCCGCTGCGCGGCCGTATATTAAGTCTGTGAGTGCTATAAGTGACGTGCCATGGCGACCCCACATCGGGCTCCGTGTGGACCTCGTTGGAGCCAGTAGCCAGCTTTTCACACGTGTTTTAGAGTTGCCCCCCAGGCTCCCCGAAGTGGCCCGCCCTGGGAAGCGACCCACCGAGGGGTCGAAATCGAGCCTCAGCAAGGCCAAGCGAGACATTGATCGCCAGCGTGCTTTAGAGAAGCGTAATTCGCGAATTCAGGAAAGGTTTGGCGATGTGCTCAGGTCGGATAAACATGCCGAGAGCGAAGGGGAGGTGTCGGGGTCTGAGGAGGTCGGTGTCAGTGACCCGCTGGGAGATAGCGGCGAGCTGGACGACTACGACTACGACCCGTGGGCCGACGAGCCCAACTTCGGCAACCCCGAGCTCGAGCCCGCCCCAGCCGCACCTGTCTTTGTTGCGTCTCTTGCTCGCTCGTCACAGTCAGAAGCTGAGCCAGCTCGAAGTAATTCATTCCCCTCTAACCCCCAGAGCCCCGATAAGCCCGACAGTACGGAGGACGGCAGTTCCCAGTCTCTGCAGGGGAGCTCCCAGACCCAGGACCCTGACACCCCAGGCTCGTGCTCTGGTGTTGCGTTTGAGGTGCCCGAGGAAACGTGGAGCCAGGCCAGGAAAAATATTGGGTTCTCTCCGAACTCATTCAGTCCCCCTGCGCCTGCTGTTGCGTCGTCCGTAGCATTTCGGCTAGGAGCCCAGTCAGGTCTCTGCACATATCAGTTCACTTTATTGTAGTTGGGTTCGGTCCGTTGAGCTGGCGATATACACACATCACCAGCAGACACCACCTACATTGAGTCGTGGACAGTCGGTGCAGTTTCGTGCATGTGAAGCCCATCAGTCCAAGCCGCAACGCATACAGCCACTTCGTGACCGTGTCGCGGGCTGGTGGACTCGAGTTGCAACAATCGTTCGAACATATCTCAGTCATCGTCAGCGGCGAAACGGTGACAAGCAACAATTGGTTCTCACAGCCGCTGCGCGCAACCTCATGACGCAGTGCCCTGACGAGAGTCACAGAGTGATTCGTAGAGGTGATCGTATGAGATGGTCTCAGTGGCACACGACCTTGAGTCGAATCAGCGAGCTTAATATCGATGAACTCAAGGAGCCCGACGCTGACGCGACGCGGCTTGCGCGTCGTAGCCAGCAAAGGGCAGCGCAGAGATCGATGCAGGAGTTTCGAGAGTGGGCCGAGACAACACCTGCAGTCGGGGCGCTTCACAAATCCATCCGTGATCAGAAGCTCCCTGACGACACCCTTGAGATCGGCCCTAAGACGTTGATTCACCCAAAGGATATCATGGATGCCAAGACTCAGCACTGGGAAAAGTTATGGGGCTCAAAGGCGGATGATGAGTTTCAGCAGATTTCCGAGATGTTTGTCGACATACGGCAGCGGATCCAGGGTGAGTCTCTCATGCCACTAGGAGTTTCGGACCTTCGTGAAGCGCTCAGGAGCATGAAGCCCAACGCCGCCATGGGCGCCGACCGAGTTGGGAGTCATGATTATGATAGGCTACCCGACGCGGCGATCGACGAACTTGGCGAGATCCTCACGCTCTGTGAGCTACACCAGGTGTGGCCGCATCAGGTCCTTCTTA